GAGTAAGTTTCAAAAAGACCTACGGCTAGTCATATATTTTCTTAAGTCACAAAGAAAGACTACGTCTACTAGACAAACTAGTATATAAGCTGAAGCAAATAGGGTAAAAGCATCAGTCATTTGACGTAAGCAACACAGACTACAATGTTTAAACTGGTAGTGTTGTCCTCCGTGCTGGCCCTAGTAGCCGCGTCACCCAGTACCATTGGTCTAGGTTTGGGTGGTTTGGGTTTGGCAGGGTTGGCTGGCCCGATTGCTGCTCCGTTAGCTGCTCCAATTGCTGCCTCGTTAGCTGCACCGATTGCTACCCCGTTGGCTGCTCCGATTACCGCTCCTTGGGGAACTGTAACAGCTCACGGTGTGGCTGTGGCCCCCGCCATTGCTGCTGTGCCCGTTCTTGGACATGGGATCAACTACAGGGGCCCATTGTCTTTAGCACCTGGACAGCCCGCCAACATCCTTGCCGCCGACGGTAGACCACTTGACACTCTCAGCGTGAACTTGGATCGTGCTGCTCACCTCACTGCACGGGCTGTGAATGGTGGTCACTTATTGAGGAAGAGGTCCGCGCCCTTATTGGCTCCCGCCCTCCCCGCTGTCCACGCTGCTTGGCCTGCTGCTGCCATTTGGCCCGCCGCTCGAGTTGGCTTGAGTGCACCTATCGGCGCTCCTTGGGGCGTTGGTGCCATAGGCCATGCTGGGCTTATCGGCCACCTTGGTTAAAATGTACATATGAGTTACCTAACTCCCTTAAATAATTTCATATTCAATCTAATTATATAGTTTTATAAAGAGAGCTTTTACTACACAATTTTGTTTCTTTTAAAAAATTGTCCCTTTTTAAATTAGGCGAATACCCAAATTACTTTTCTAACACCCGGTTTCTGAATTAGGAATTTAAAGTTAAGCACGACTCAAGCCGTACTTAAGTCATTTTAAACGTCATTTAAACAGGTTTTAGTTTCTGATTTTTTTTTAATGAACAGTTTATAGAAGTTTGATAAAACTAGGACTTTTTGTCACTTAAATAATATAAGTTATTGAGTATAATCAGTTGAGATTTTGTACTTTTCTTAATTTTGAACGATATACTTACTTTCAAATATTAATTCATTTTATTTTCCAATAAAAAGAAAAAAGAAAATCGTTACGCATTTAATAATATTGTTGAGAGATACTTATAAATGTTTCAAGAAATATTTATGGTTCGTCTTGATATCCCTGAAATTTAATAAATAAATTTAATTTTAACGTTTATGGGCAAAATTGGATGCCCTTGAAAAATCCTGCAGTCCATATTATTTTTAAGTCGCAGTAGCTCTCGACTTTCACAAGTAACAGACTAGACTGAATAAATAAATTTGATTTTGATTTTTTGTTCTCTATGAGTTTCTTCAAATGATATTACCTATACTTTAATAGGATATTTTTATTATAAGGACAAATAGGAATATTCAACATTTATTAAATAAAATGAATATCAAAATATAATATGACGTTTTACATCCGAGAGAATTTGGTTGTTTAAACAGCCTTTATATAGAAAAATAAAATAATATTGTTTAATATATTAGGCACGGTTACCTATTATTTTGACCGCTAAAGTGCTACAGAACACATCTGAAATATATACTCAACAAAAATAAGGTACATGGTAGCAATCCAGCGAAAAACTATCATTCTAAATAGATATTAGGTCCTTACATATGAAATTGGCGTTTTGTCGTACTGGCCACTTTAATCACAAATTTCTCCTCCTTGGTAGGGAATTCCAAATATAAATTTATACAGCCATTTACACATATATTTGCGGCATTATTTTTTTCTTCTGTTTGTTCTATTTTCGTCACCCAGTATAAAAAATGGAAAACTTGAAATACCGTGGTTCCGGTGCTGCGGAAATGGCTCAAAGGGTTATCGATGTGTATGGCGGTTGTGTCGCAAAAGAAAACACAGTACGTTTTTGGTACAACGTTTTCGTTCTGGAAATTTCGACCTGCAGAGCAAGCCCCGTGGACGGCCGGAGATCCAAGTTAATAATGAAGAATTGAAGGCTATTGTGGAAGTGGATCCACCACGTCCAATTTAGCTGCAGATTGCGGTGTTAGTGATAAAACTGTTTTAATCCACTTGAAGAAAATTGGAAAGATTAAAAAGCTTGAAAGGTGGGTACCTCACGAGTTGAGTGAAGTAAACCGGCAAACGCGCTTCGACTTTGTATGAAGGGTTTTTAAATCGAATCATTACCTGTGATGAAAAGTGGATTCTCTACGATAATCGGAAGCGCTCATCGCAATGGTTGGACCCTTGCATGCCAGCCAAATCCTGCCTCAAGCGAAAATTGACCCCAAAAAAGTTACTTGTAAGCGTTTGGTGGCCTAGTGCCGGTGTCGTTCATTACAGTTTTCTCAAATCTGGCCAGACGATTATGGCAGACGTCTATTGTCAGCAATTGCAAACCATGCTGGAAAGACTAGCTGTTAAACAACCGAGGCTGGTCAATCGCTCTACGCCACTGCTACTTCACGACACCGCTAGACCACACACTGCTGACAGACGGCTACCAAATTAGAAGAGCTTCAATTGGAATGTTTCAGATAGCCACCGTTCTCCCCGGAAAATGCTCCAAAAGATTATCATTTTTTTTCGAAATTTGGATAACTTCTTGCAAGGGAAAAAATTCAGCTCCTATGGGGCAGTGCAAATCGCCTTCAAAGATTTTATTGATTCCCGCCCGAATGGTTTTTTTTTAGTAAGGGGATTAATGAACAAATTAGGTGGTAAAAGTTCATAGATAACAATGGTTTATAATTTGATTAAATAAATATATTAAAAAATATTCCATATTTTTGTTCCTCCCATACCAAACACCAATTTGATATGTAAGGACCTAATATATTGACATTACACTCTTCTTTCCTTATTGATCAGTTGGCACGGGTTTATAGGCAGGCGGGAGTTAAAAACTGTGGCCTACGTGATAGTGCCTTATTTTAATTTATTGATCATGTCACTATTCTATGTGTTATTATCAGAATTCTTGGTATACAAACACTTCGTAAATATATTTTTATTTTAGTTTCAAGGGATCTTAGGTTGGCTTACGAATGTCAACCAAAATATATGATTGATAACCATTGATCAAAAAATCATTGAATGCAATTGTTGTTTCGTAATAACAAGAAAGAGACGGGTAAAATAGGTAGTTATGTTTCAAAATTTTAGGTTCAATTTTAATTCAGTTTTATTTTTATACGTCTATTTTCATAATTTCTTTAAAACATTAGAATATATCTTTGAATTCTGAGGTTAAGCACTATTATTTAGTGGATATGTTTCTATTAACCAGCTGATACTCAAAATAAAGCAAGTGATTTTGTAATTGAAAATCGCCTTGAGGCTATTATTCAGTCTGCATTGCTTGGGTTTAACGCTAATTTCTTTCAATACGTAGGTGACTATGAAAGTTTGAAGAAAATTAATGACGTGATGTAAAATAATAAAACATAAAAACTTGTTAATTTATTGCTTTACGA